AAAAACAAGTAAGTACTGCCTAAAACACGAAAGAAAATCTCATCCATGTCATCCATGGCAAAACTAAAAGACAGCAGATAGTGTTTCATAACTAGATGACATGTATTTTATAAATGCGCGCAGCTCGTGCAAGGTGAAATTATGCTAATTTCAATCACCAGCATCCTTCTTTTTAATTTTGAAAAAAACACCTAATACGTCTTTCTCATTCTTCGAAACTTCAAAACTAGTTTCCCCTCAGTTTTTACTGTTTGCCTTGCTTTGTTTTAGAGAGAAAAACGGAGAAGAAACCTTACAAGTAACCTCAATAAATTTTGTTTACATGCGGTTACCGGATTTGCAACGCATTGCGCAAATCGCCATGGCGCGTTGCACCAGAGAAGCAAAGTTTGAAGAAGTACAACGCCACAATATCAATATATGTCAATCTAATTTTTTGTTATGTTATATAAAATTTATTCCCCTTTAACATATGTAAAAATTGAGGTTAAGAAATGTTTAAGCTTTTGCAAACGAAACGGCGAAAGACGATTAGGTAATATTTAGTGGAAGGAGGAGGTATTCACCACTTTCAAATTCAACTTAAATTTTGGCATTATACGAACAACAAGTTTGACTTATAGACGTACAGACACAAACATATGAAACTGTTTATTGATACTATTATGAAACGAATTTTATCTTTTTGACATTGTAGCCTGAAATTACAGAAAGAAAATAGGATTTCCGGTTTGCAAAAAGGAAAATTTCGCCGGCCTTGAAGCGCGGAAAGAGCGCTCGTGCCAGTCCTACTCCGCATCACACATTAAATGAAGAGCGGAGCGCTCGTTTCACCGCCCAACCTTCATCCGCCCTGGTTGCAGACCTCACTGCCAGCCCCACCTGCTTGTGCCTTAACGTTTAATTATTGTCACGTGACCAAAAATTGAAAATGAAGAAAATTGGCGAATTGGTGGCGAATTTCCTTTGTTCGGAAAACAATTTAGCATTTCTGATAGAGGATAAACAGACCTAAATTTCTACGTTTGGAATGAATGTACGCGAAGTTTAAAATAATTCAAGATTAAATTTAGGTATTTAAAATGATGCTTTCCCTCATAATTTTTTATTGAAGGGCAATGGACGGTCATTCCAAACGTTAAGTGTTAGAAATAATTAATATGAATCCGAAAAATGTTATTTCTCGATTTCTTTTATTAAACCGGCCACCAATTGGGTAATAATTTACGATTTTTAGCAAAATGGTCACGTGACATATCACGTGACTTATGAACACAATAGTTATACTTTAAAATGTTAAGGACGATGAGCTCTCTGTGTGCTAAATGTTGATCCAGTGCGATCATCTTTACCAAAGTTATAGCCAATAATTCATTTTCTACAGGTAAACCCCTTAGTGCCAGGCCTTAAACTACTTGAGTCTTTCGCTTTTTTTTCTCGTTTATTTTTGCATTATTTTTCTCACCTTTTCTTTCTCGTTTTTGCACTTACACGTTCAGTCTTTTCTATTTTTATCCTATTTAATGATTATTTTCTATGTTCCAAATAAATTGTGCGTACTTAGAGTTAAATTGCCGATGTTAGTATTGTAATTATTAATTAGATAACATAATTTGAAAAGGTGGTACTATTTGAAGCTTAGTTTCCAACCAAGTGATCCCCCAAAAAGTTTTGGCCGTCCTCCGTCCGAGCCACAGGCATACCATTGTAAAATAACTCAATCAACAGGTGTGGCAGCCCAAGGCAACTCGAGGTCTTCAATACCAGCTGCTACTTGAGGCTGCTCGTTGGGGAACAATTGATCACTGAAAAGGTTGTAAATTCCATTTATTTTTACAGAGAAAGACAGTGTTGTGCCATTTATTCAAGACTGAGGTATAGTATTCTACAAATTTTCCGGGAAAAAGTGTTGACCAATCGGAGGGCGCCATTTACAAAAATGCGATTTTCAAAACAAATGGTCCTTTAATATTCAAGAGGAAACTATTATCATTTTCTAGTTTTTGAAAATCCACGTCAGTTTTTATTCTGGCGTTTGTCACTTCAAAACCGTTATTGGACAAAGCCATAGAAGACTGAAATTTTCTTAAGTAGAAGCAACAAACTGAAAAATGCAACGTTCCACGTAAATTCATACTAATCCGGTCTTATCTTTAAATGGGCTGAATGCCACTAATTAATTATAAATAAAGTGAAAAGCGCTGGATTTTGACTCACAAATGATTACTTTTTATGAATCAATAATTGTACAAATTTTACCTGGGACAACACGTCGATATTTTTTCGTCTTATTTTCTTATAACACTACACCACCTGTACAAACTCAAAGTCAAAGTGTGGGCAGTTAACTAAAAGAACCACACAATGAATTTCTCGGCCACAAGTGTCCTTGGCGTTATGTACATCTAAAATAACTCTTAAGTCCATTTTTTAAAATCAGGTCGTTTGAGTTCCGACAGAAGGTTTCATCATAATCAAAGCGATGGCGGTTTCAAACTTTTCAGTTGTTATCGTCCAAGACAATTATTGTGGGTTCTAGTGGTATATGCCGTCTTGGCGCGTCTTGCCGCGGAGATGTTTTAGAGCTGTTTGGTAAAACTTCCACCGTACTCTTCTTGTTTGCGGGAGATGTGAGAGTCGTAAATTCCACTCTTCTTGGTTGAAGCGGTTTGTTACTTGGAACCTGATTACTTGTGTGGTTTTCCTTATCTGCAGCAGATGTTTCAGATTTCTTCAAGCTGGACAACTTTGCTTTGTCTTCTAGAGGAACAGAAGTCAGTGCTATCCTTCTCGGCTGAGAGCTGTTGATGGTCGAGTCAGGTGTAGATTTGGGGGCACACTCTGGTTCTGCTTCTTTGCTAATGAACCCTACTGTTTCACTGGACTTTGGATTGACTTCTGATGACTTCCTTGGAGGGGTTAATCCGTCAACAAAGGTGGACAGCGTTGTTAATTTTATCCTCCTCGGTGCATTGCCAGATGAGGTTTGACGCTGAATGCTTTTGTTTTCTGCTCCAGAATCACCTGAAGACGACGTTGAGACTTGGGGAACACTACGCGCAGAATCTTTGCTGTCTGAAGTATTTTGTCCCTGTTTGAGTCCATGAGCGGAAGGTGAACTTGTGCTGGGTGTGGCAGTGTCCACAGGTATAAGAGGCACCCGTCTTGGAGTAACCTGCCCACATGTATTATTCTTCTTAGGCTGACTGTTACTGGCTGGCATAAGGGGAACACGTCTCGGTGTGATCTGATTCCCCATTGCATTCACTGGAGAACTGCCCACGTTAACTTGTTTCTGAGCTGGCATAAATGCTGTATTTTTAGCAGTGTTTGGGGCTGTACTTGTAACTTGCTGTACAGTGACCTGATTAGCTGGATTGGAAACTACAGGAACTGGTGTCAAGGTAATCCTTTTGGGTGTCGCTTTAGTAAGCGGCTTGGTTGGTGTGATTTTCATTGGGACCGCAAACATTTCAATCCTGCCAGCTGGATCTTTCTTGTGAGTGGGTTGAGAAGATTTATCCACCTTTTCCTCAGCGTTACATTTATCTATAAGGGCTGATGTCTGTTTATTGCCCATTTTGCCTGTAAAGCAATTGAACAAAGTGTTAAGCAATGCATGTGAATACACTCTTGATTAAGCCAAGTTATGGGATTGCCGTTGCAGCAGAGCCGTAAATAATTTTTCTTGCTCTGTTGGGTCAGACGTCGAACTTAGAACGCGTTGAACCAATCAACTGAATCAGATCAGTAATAAATTTTCTCCCGAACGGCGTTAAATATACGTTATCGTAAAAATGTTTAAGTTATTAGTTCAGTTCGTCTCATGAAATGGTTTGTCGCGGAGAGGATCGTCAGGCGTTTTGATCTATCTGCTTCAGACGGATAGAAAATGTTTTCGACGATCCAAACTCATTCAGACGAATTTAACTGAGCCAGACGTCGAACTTTTTCATGAACTTAACTTACTAAGTTTGGTTCGTCTCATGATGAAAAGTTCGATGTTTGGCCTAGGCCTTAGTTACAATGATTTTTGCTCACACACAGCAAAAATTTACCTTACTTGTAGTTATTTTTTAAGTCTCGTGTTTTTTCGCGATTGTAAGAAAAATCACCAAATTAAACAACCGTGAATAGAAGTCTTCGCGACATTTAAACACGCAAAATTTTAATACCCATAAAGAAAATGCAGACCACAGGGAAAGCCCCCCTTGCGGCTTATATTCGGAGGGGCGATTTAACGGAGGGTTTTTTCGTTACGATTTTGGGGGGCTTATATTTGGAGGGGCTTATACATGGAGGGGCTTACTTTCGGAATTTTAGGGTATACAGGAGATGTGTCGACTAATACACAGATGAATTGTTAACTGGTTTTGGTGGTAAGTTCCATTTTGTATCTTCTGTTGTGGAGTAACAATAACATTCTTAAAAGGTACTTTTAAAATATAGTTTCAGCGCTTGTTCCAGTTTTTCTGGAAATTTGAAAAAGTTCTGACTATTTGAGAAATATAACGAAGTTGAGAACGCTTGAATCGCGAAATTCAATAATGCCCTTTTTCACATTTGCTTATTGAAATCGCGAAAAACGGCAGCCAAAACTTCACCCAAAAAGTGCGGAATTCGCGCTATTTGAACTTCATCGCTCTTATTGCAACTCTTTAAAGTTGTCAAATGTTGGCGAGTTTTTCTGGAGTTGCATTCTAAAGGACTGTATCTAAGTGTTCACGTCCTCAAAAAAACCTGAAATTAGGAAGTTTCACGTCGTAGTCGTGCAGTGACGGCAAAGAAATGTACGAAAAAGCATGACGCTCGCGTAGATTTTTGTTTTGCCAATCTAAACCTATTCCTTTTTAACCACTCTCGTTGCCATCGCCATCATCTTTGCTTAAGGTCCTCATGCAAAGATAGTTTGATGAATCAGAGAAGTAAAAAAAGGAGAGATTGGGGCGGAGAGAGGAAAAATACTTGGTTAGTGAGATAAAAATGGGAGTATAATTTCTTGTCTCAAGGTGATCTTACACGTGACGATTCGCAACGACGATTTTGAGCGCAGCATAGCGTGGCAATGTTGGAACAATGTTGCAATCATTCGAAACAAAGTCGCAACAATGTTGTAGTGCTGTTTTGCGCTAAAAATCTTCATTGCAAATCGTCCCGTGTAACATCACCTTAAGGTGACCTTGTCCTGCCCAGCCACCACACTCCCTAACCCATCTACATGTACCAGGAGCCCATGACCCTGCATGTACATACTAGTTGAATATCAACCAACAGGGACACCAACCTGAACTATCACCATTTAGCATCAGTGGTGAGTTGCTTCTATCCAACACTTGTTTGATTGACAGGTCGTAAGGTTCGCCAAGCTCTCCTTCATTGAATTGAACAATAGAACAGTATCCATCAGAGGAGGACACAACAAGTGTGCTTCCATCACTGGACCTAAATACAACAGGACATAAAAAAATATGTTATGCAAATCCCCTTCATCTCAGTATGGACAAAAAAAACCCTGAACTCTGAGTGGGAATAAAACCTAACACTTACACAGGGGTAGAGGTTTTAGCAACTTACTTGAAGAAAGCATAACTCTTTTAAGCTGTGAGTTTCAGTGGTCATTTAGGGCCATTCTAGTAAACATTAATTTTGTTACAATAAATCATCATCATCAGATAAATACCATATGATATTGTAATCTTTGATGTGAAAATTGTCTGGCAAGACAAATGAGCTGCCTGGAAGCCCAGATATGTGTGGTTTGTAATCAACAGCAATGACAAGCACGTGTTACTAAAAATGCCTCTCATAAAATTGTCACTAAAGCTTGAAGAAGACCAGAACTAAATTGTTGAAATGTCATGATAATAGAGACAATATTTTAATTATTATCATATTGTTCCAGTCAGGTGAAAATCAAGACAACCAAGGCGATAATTTGATTAGAAGCAGATGTTTCTGCACACTTGTATGTGCTTAGCCTGCATAGCAAGCGTTTCCTCACAAGTTCGTCGAGAAAGTTGGGACGAGAGCAAAAAAAAAGGAATGACGGGGGAGGGGGACGCTTGTTACGGAGGCTAGTATGTGCTTCTTATTAAACCATTGAGAGTGAGTTATCAGTTAATTACTGTACCAAGTAACATCTGTGAGTGCTGCATAATGAATGCTTCCAACAAAACCAAATGGAGCTGTTTGTTGAGTGTCATACAACAGGACTGAATCCAACGTTGCCACTGCAAACACCATGCGGTATGGCAATCTGCAATAATGTTTTATTTCCTGTCAGTTCAGTACATTAGCAATTACAGCAAAAATGGTGTGTACAGATGATACCCAAGCAGTGTGCAAAGAAAGTAGTGTCCGATAGCGCGGGACTAGTTGTTTTTGTTATCAGGCTAGTGAATTCTGTTCTTGACTTGCCCAAAGGGCAGGTAAATTTTTTCACAGAAGGACTGTGAAATCAATTCTGCTTATCAAAAAGTTTCTGGGGCTAGTTGAAATGATGTTTGGGCTAGTAAATGCTAGCTTCAGCTTGCCCAACTGGCAAGCTGTAAAAATGACTCTCTTTGCACCCTGTCCAAGTATGTTTTCTTATTTTTCTTACACAGTAGGATTTAAGGAATGAAATGAAGTTGGAATTTGTTCAAGTAATGACAGATTATTACCATATTGCTAATCTTATCCCCCATGAGGCCACTACCCTAAACCTCCGAAATAATCCTCAAACTAAAAGATAAAACCTCAGGGTGCAAGGCATGTAGCTGTGCATGGTTAATAACAGGAGGTAAACTGGTGAAGATTAAGCGGGTTGATGATTATTTCATGAGAATGTTCCAGTCAAAGTTAGATAGGGTCCATCATCTTTTGCACTGGTCTAGCCTCTGGCCTGTTTGACTAGATCACACACAATCTGTCATTTGGGGTATATGCACAGCAGAAGATCTTTTCCTTTGAAGTTGGGCATCTTTGAGTACTTTCAAACCTCCCGTAGGCAACTGCCTTCCGAAAACAGCAAAAATGTTCTCAGTCAAAGTCTTATCCTGGAACCTCTCATAAACGACCACCTCCAGTAAGCGACCACCAAGCCTTTGCATTTTGGGTGGTAACTTATGGGCGATTTGACTTTATTGAAACTGATGATGTTACAAGGTGCACAAGGGATGTGGTTCCTTACAAGTTGTTTGGTTTGGTCTGAGCTGAGGTGTGAATGGGCCAACATTAATAATTAATGTTGACCCATTCACACCTGTAATTATTAGAGTTAAAGGTAATAAGACAAGAAACTAGCTTACTTGAACAGACTCTTGACAGGAGTAGCTGCTACTTGAGGAAAGAAATAAGCAAAGTTACCACTTATGTTATAATGTATGCGTTGTGTACATAAATATACATAAATGTAAAGGGACATGTACACATACATCTGTAAGCCCAGAGGCTCACATGTACACCCTATATAGAATTTTGTTTCTACCCCCCTTGGTGCCTGACCATCGCAAGGTTACCTCTGGCAGTGTGTAGCTGGTGCCCATATTTATATACCAGGGTGAATTAGGCAGATGAAGTTCCTGATTAGAAAGGTTTCTTGCCTAATAAGGAAACAAAGCAATGGCTACCTACACGTACAGCCACTGAGCTGAGCTGAATTGATTTGTTCCACAATTTGTGAGATTTTCCGCTTCATTTTATCTCTAGTGTAAACATATAATATAATGCACATTCTCAGCCTCTTTCCCTTAATATTATTTAATATTATTAGCAGAAATAATGGTAATAGAAAGCTACCTGAAGAAAATTGTAAATGTTACAAATTTGCCAACAGACCTTAATAGAATTTAAAGACAACAGCTCCAACATAATATGTACCTTGCTCTTGTCTAAGTTTGAACAGGATGGGACAAAAGCGCACTGCTACAGAAGCCTTCTGGGGACTGGGAAGGTAGAGCACTGGTCTGCAAAACAAATTTCAGAAATATAGGGGAATCATGGTCTGTTAAACCTCCTGGGAAAAGGAAATTGGTTTATATCAATGGGAGGTTTAAAAGTAGGGGTGATACAGGTGTAAATTAAAAGTTTTATCACTGGAGTTGGATGTCAGTTTTGGCTTGAATTATCAGGAGGTTAAAAAAAATCAAGCACAGGAAAAATAAGAGAATTCCCAATATCTTGAAATTGGGGTTATTTTGGTTCTAACTTGGGCCTAACTTGGGTCTAGTATGGAATTAAACTTGGGAACTGTTTATTTCCCAAAGTAATACCTCAAGTTGGGAAATGGGAACAACTCCCAAGTTATTCCCAACCTGTGCTGAAATAGGGAATTGTTAAATCAACAATATAGACCCATATTTGACCCAAATATAGGGTCTAATTTGGGATATATTTACCCCAAGTTAAACCACATTTAGTCCCATAGTAGAGTTTATTTGAACCCAGGTTTGTCCCAAAGTCATATCCAAGTGGTCCCAAATAGGGTCAGAATTGGGAAAAATAACAAGGACCTTTTAGCCTCATATGGTCCCACAATTGGGTCAAACTGATCCCATCTTTTATTCCTTGTTCCAAGCGCTGTTCAAGTTCTTCCTAAAGGACAGGGTTAAACAGCAATAATTTATTTAGTTGTCACATCTAACTAAATCACCAAACTGATTTTGATATGAAAATGTCATTCTTTTATTTACATAAACTGGAAACACTTACAATGCGTAATGTGGTATTTTTAACAGTGTAAATTTACATACAATTCCATTTTCGTTACATCAATCATTCACAAAAACTGTACAATGTTCCTGAATTACTTGCCAATAAAATCCACTTGCAAAGTCCTTGATCCCCGAAAACAAATTCCTCACAAGAAGCCTTAAGGTGTTCACACAAAGTTCCCACGCACAGTCCTGCGTTGTTCCTTAAATAGATTCCATCCAGCGGGCCTTTGATGACAAAACTTGAAACAAAATCCGCAATAAAAGTTCCTGATTCGTACTTAACAGAATCCAGTAATCTTGTGTAAGTCAAATCCAAAAGTCAAATCCCGTGAATAAAGGCAATCCGTAAAAAATCCATTCCGTGACAATCGCCGTAATGGAATTAGTAGTCCGCACGTAAACATGTTTTTCAAAATCCAAAATCCAAAAGTTTCCAGAAAATCGCTTCAAAAATGTTCACAATTCATTGCTTCAAGTTCTCAAAACTCTCAAAAGGCAAGGGGAAAAATAGCAAGTACATCTGCTGTAAAAAAAACCCTCAAGACAAAAATTCAAAATGGCAAAAACGTTTTGGCTGAACACTGCGTACTATGAAAAAATTCAAAGGTGTTCGATTGCAGAGGATCGAAATACACCAATCAGAGAAAGGCATTTTAATTGCCTGTTTCCCGAGAGGTCAGCTTATGCTGAATTACTGCTTTGTGATTGGCCCATTAATTTTATTATTCTTAGATATACTTTTAACTGAACCTTTTTCAAAATTTGTTGATAATTTTACAACCTCTGTGTTTCAAATGCCTAAAAGTATAAAATCGTTGCCCAGTTGTTATTTTAAAATCAAATTTCATTTTTCAACGGGTTCTCCCCAGGACTTTTTCAGTAAGAAGTAGCTTTGAACATAGCTGTGTTCAAGCTTAGGTTTGCAAAATTTTTAGGTACAAATTTTTCTGTTGCAAGACTAGAGAAGAAAATTAAGCGACTTATTTACAGTGTAAGACAAAAAATGTTTTTGATATAAGAAGATTACAAAACTCCAGCCCTTGTAACAAAAATAAAAAGAAGAAATGCTGTCTTAAAACAAGATCCTTTTACTTAATTCAAGCTTTGTCTTAAAACCATTTTCGGCCTCTTAAAAACGTTTGTAAATCAATATTTTTCCTTCTTAAAACAAGGATGTTGTTCTTTGATTGAAGTGACTAGTTCTTAATTTAAACGGACCTACTTTTAGAGTAAGTAAGAAGAGTTTATCCCACTCAACATGAATTTTTGTTATTTTTGTGCATCTTCTTTTTCTGTCTTCCTTTTCTTTAACACAAATTACAAAAATTACCGCACACCACAAAACAGTTAATGCTGAGGTGAGCATGTCCCAATTTCACCCACAAAAAATGTGTTTGCATGAAATAGTCCCAAAGTAGGTGTGACTTAATTTTTATGAACCCAAGTTATCCCCACTGCTATCAGCTGAAGTAGCAAATTTTGGGACTACTTTGGGAAACATACATTGGTAATTACAAGAAATGAAATTTACTCTCAAAATATACCCAACTTTGGCCCAAGAATAACCGATTACACCCCAAAACAGTTAATGTTGGGGTGAGCATGTCCCAATTTTGACCCATAAAAAATGTGTTTGCTTGAAATAGCCCCAAAGAAGGTGCAAATTAATTTATGTAAACCCAAGTTATCCCCAATGTAATAAGCTGAAGAAGCTAATTTTGGGTCTTATTTGGGAAACATATATTGGGAATTACAAGTGGAGCATTTAACTCTTAAAGTAAAACCCAACTTTGCCCCAAGAATAACCCAACTTTAAAAGTTGGGAATTATTATTTCCCAAGTTAGAACCAAGTTTGACCCAAGTTGGGATTTGTCCAATGTTTCCTGTGAAGAGTGCAAGAAGTTAAGATACTACTGTAGTGATAATTTTCATCATGCCTTTAATAACACCTGAAAATAAGCTGAAGTAGATTAATTTTTCTCATGGAGTTGTATGGAAAACTAAGACCTGTGACCGTAAAAAACTAACACCTTAAAACCAAAAGTGCTAAAATTGACCTACTAGAATAAAATAAAAATAAATGAACACTTTTAAATGAAACTAGGGAATTGACTGTGACATGTCTTAACATTTCTAGCGTTGTCTACACCTGATGTAACCACTCTAACCCAATCAAATAACCTGGAAAATTATAAATACCTCGACATCTAAGACCCTGAAAACTTAACTAAGACTTTGAAACTAAGTCTCTCTCATTCAAACTACCTGGAAACAACACCTCCCTACAACAACACAGGTATATTCAGGTCTTAACTTTCGGGGACTTAGGTCTTAGATTTCAAGACTGGCAGGTAAAAATGCAGGTCAAAGGTCACAGGTGCAAGTTAGAGTAAAAGTCACTGTACTATGGTAAATAAACTAACTGAAAGTGTCTCCTAGCTCTAATCACCACCTGAAATAGAGTTTTAGCTTAAGGGGAAGGTACTTATTTCAGTTATATTTATCAATACAACCCTCCAAGTTAAAGTTTTTGCTTGGTCGCCAATTGGCAACTAACTCTTTTGGTTTAGGGAGACTTTTTTAGAAATCAAGTTGCCAGCTCCAAAATTTTAGGCGCCCTTGTGACCAAGATGGTCGCAACTTGAAGGGTTGCAATACAGCAGTGACCTTCACTTATGGTGACCTGTGACCTCTGGTTTGTTATACCTGGCATTTTAAGACACCCATTAATATCATTTTGTATGGAGGCTCATGATTTTATACCTTTTGTTGTCTTGTTGACTACACAAACGGCAGCTAAATTCAGTGAAACAATTTTAACTCACTTGTTTGGTGATGCTCGTGTGAAGACATAAGTTGTATTGACCACCTGGTCGCCAACGTCAATGCGTCCAGCTGCCAATCAAGACAAGTAATAAAATGACAATGTACAAGTAAGTACTTAGATTCCATACACACAAATGTGGTACAATGAAAAAAGGTGTATGAAATTTTTTAACAATGGCGTAGGATTTGTGGGCTGTTACTGATGTGTCCTCAGTAACATACAAATATTTTTGTTGGTTCTTTGTGTCTTTTAATTTCCTACCTGGGACTAACAGCAAAGAGCCATCTGGAGAAAAACTTGGTCTTCGAAAAAAGGATGGCATGGTCTCATCATGAAACATTTTTCCTTGCTTGATGGACTAAATAAAGAGCAAAGGAGTTATTATAGTACTTGCTGTGTATTAGCGCAATGCATGTTTGCTTTTTATATGCTGCAGACAGGATAGATTGTAGACAATGCCTTGTCAAGGATATGCATTTATAGAGTAGGTTTTCTACAGACTGCAACAATAAAGGAATGTAAATCCTGGAAAGGACATTTATATGTGGCAAATTCAACTGTATTTTGCCAAACACCTTATTTATGGCTGCTTAGTGACTTACGTCCAGTTAGAGTCACTGTACAGGGTGAACTGAACTGGAACTTGATATACCCAGTTTCCTAACCCTATACTATAAATCATGAAACTTCAGAGTCATTCAGCTTTTGGTAATTTTTCTGCACTCTTCAAAATACAGTGTATGCCACTGAAAAGTATTGTATATCAAATAATAATGAAACAAATTATTAATACACAACATACCTCTCCAATTTCTATTGCCTTTTGAGAGTTATTCAAGATCAGCTTATTAATGTTATAACAGCAGCGATAAGAATTTGGATTGTACAATCTACAGCTCCTGCAAAACAGAAAATATATTAATGTATGTCCTTGGAAACATTTGCTGCCAATAAGCTTTTAAAGCATTTCTTTCCTTCCATTCCTTACTCTGCAAAAATAATAAAGGCTGAAACTCTATGCAGGCCCTTTGAAATTCAATGGAAACAAAGCTGTTTCAAAAAGTCACTTATCTTTCAGACTACATGACACATGCATGTAGGATCACAAATTGCACTAAAATGGTTATTAGCAGTGGTGGATCCAGACTTTCAGATAAGGGGGGCCCCATCATCCAGACCCTGAGATAGGGAGGAGGCCCGGTTTTTTTTAGGGCCCTTTGGGCCTCAGTTTGGTCTAAAAATTAGGAGGGGGGGGGGGCGGCCAGACCCCCCAGGCCCCTCCCCTCGATCTGCCACTGATTAGATCTCACCACTGGGTAAACAACAAATACCTTTATTCGTATAATGTATTATAATTAGAGATATATGAAATATGAAATAAAATAAAAATATACAATGTAAAATAAGAAACTATACAAAAAAGTAAATATTATATACATGATAAGAGAAAATTTCTTTTATTATGTATATGATATTAAAATGTTCTCAAAATTTAAAAACTTTTTAATTTAAAAAAACCTATTTAAAGGATTTTTTTCCCTGAATAACAGAAATAAGGAACTGCCGGGGGGGGGGGAATAAAAAGTTAATAAAAAAAGAATAAAATTGTTAAAAGGAAAATTACTTTCAATAGAAATTGTTAACAAATACTAGATGAGTAGATCACAGCAAAAAAAATAAAAAAAATTAAATATAATATAATAAAAAAGAAAAAATTTTTTTTAATTAGAAAAAAAAATAAAAAAGTCCCAAAAAAATAAAAACCTTCAAAATTAAAAAAACCTATCTGAAGGTTTTTGTTTCCTGAATAACAAAAATGGGGGACGGACGGGGGGGGGGGGAATAGAAAGTTAATAATAAAAGTATAACATGGTTAACAGCAAATTACCTGTCACTGGAATTTGTTACCACAAACTGACTGAGTGGATCCCAGCAAACTCCCTGTACATAATGTTTGTGATCCTTCAAGATCATAAGTTTTTGCCCTGAATAAAATCAACAAATTATTATATTAAATAAAGTAAACCAAAAAAGTTATTTATTATTTTGTATTAAGTTATTCTTAATAATTCACTAGTTTTGTTTGCATCTTTTTTTTGAAAATAGTGGTCAGGCATGCCCAAAACATAAAAAGTTTTTTTTGCAACTTTTAAAACTAAATTTATACTTCCAACTTTTAGAGCACTGGAAATGTGGCTTCCTCTACTCCCCAACTCCTCCACACTCCACAGTAATTTTATTGAACTCAGCACTACTCTGTGGAATCATAATAATTATGGAATATACATATATACCTTTCACGATGTCCCAGATAATCGCACTGTTGTCTATTGATCCAGATATGAGATTGGTACCATCTGAAGACCAGGATAGATCATAAACATCCTCTATGTGACCCCTGTATTACAGTAATAAAACAAGAGATTTGTTCTTAAAACATTCTTTCCTACATTAAAGGGAAACTGTCAGGAATTCTTGTTATAAGTTTGTGTCAGAATACGTGCTCTGATATCACAATTATCTAATCACCATTATGTTTAATAGTCTTAACATAAACTGCAGTGTAATCCGCTGCTTTCATTATCGCTTGAGTGTTATGTGCCAAGAATGTTCTTTTGGTTTGCTACATAGATCCGCTTAAGAAATGCCTTAATAATAATGTGTATAAATGTGATTTACCAAGATAAATAAATCAGTGTTGTTACTTCTACTTGAGTGATATGGCATCGCTCAGCCTAACACAATGAAAAGGGTTAAGCGACGAATAGAGTTCCAGTTCAATTTGCCAGGTTTAATGACTCAAATGCGAACTTGATTCACTGCTTCCTAACATTGATCAAAAACTTCTGCGTCATTCGGCATTCTGTAAAATACGCCTGCTGACAGTTTGTTAAAATTAGAAGCCACTTTGAATAGCTCCCTACTGTCAATGCAAGTTGCATTTAGTCATTTTCCTTGTCTTTGTTTACAGGAAAAGACAACTCTAAATATAGTTTCAAATGCACTCTATGGGTACATCTCTGAGTTTGTACAATTTTGCTATTAAATTTTTACCTTAGGGCCTTGTAAAAAGTCCAGGATTCCTTGCTTTCAATGCCTTCAGTGTCCATAAATATGTCATTTCCACTCTGATCAGGAGAACTGTTGAACTTCCAGAGAATAATCAGGGAGTCTAAAAAGTTAATCCATTAGAGAAACAGTTGAAGTCTATTAAGGCTACATTTCTCTAAAGGCCAGTTCATATGAGGTGTGCTGGCCTGGCCTGCTTGCTGAGATCCCAGTTGCTCAAGCTGAGCCGAGATCTCAACAAGCAGACCATCCCACCTTCCCATATAAACAGAACAACAATTCAAAGGGAAAATGAGGCATGAACTGCGCCAGCCTTGTTAACTGGGCTGGTTCACTCTGTATGAACAGGTCCCTAAGCCTGGCACGCAAAGAAATGTGGAGCACTCCAGCCAGTGGGGTTGGGGGAGGTATATGTACTTTCCTTTTATTGACCAGTGGAGATATGATGGGCTATAATGGGTTTGGATGAACGGGTCGCACATTTTATACATGGATGGCCCCATCAGAAATAAAAAAGTTTGCAAGGTAGATTTATAAAAACATGACTATGTACCCGACCCACCCCTGTGACCTTATTCCCAGTCTCTTGTCAATAAAAAGAGACTTGCAAGGGTTGATCTAATATAGATTTTCTCGAGTCTTTTATTTCCTATATTTTCATCTTTTTCTTTTATAGCATTTTCGTGGTCCAAAAGTTTCCCATTTTATATAAACAGACCATACAAAACATTGGCAAAATATTGAAGATAAAGCAATGTTTCTGAGAATCATGAACTAACTTACCATCACCAGCAGATGCAAGAATCTCTTCTGTGGGTGCAACAAAAAGGATGTTAGAAGCAGGCAAAAGTCCAAACCACCCCTTCTTCCCCATTTTCCGCCAGCTTGGAATTAAGTAAATGAAATGTAGAACGAAGAACTCTTCATCAAGCCTACATTAATTTTCCACACCTTATGATCGCGATCATCAATATTACCTTTCAGTGGCCTCCAGAAAGGCTGGGGCACGGGTCATAAAAATGCGGGAACAATAATTATAATTAAGCTTAATTTTTGACTTGAAAATCGCAGTTGAATTTGTTGCATTACGATCGATGGGGATGAGATCCACTGAAAAACATGTAGCTAGGGATGTCTGGATCCCAAAGCTGGAAGGCTATATTTATTCTTTTCATAGCTAGCATCATTACCTTTGGGTGAAAATCTTACAGCGTTGACGGCCTTCGTATGGCGACTCAAATTGGCCAAAAATTCGATCTGCGAATGCTGATCATCATTTGAAGCAATCGACCAGATCTAACGACAAGAAAAAGAATAAATTAGAACATAAGGAGCAAAGGATATGATACATCAAATACACACATAATAAGGTTCAAGTTTAAGTTATTTTCTAAGATTTTCGATTACAGATCTGTAGCCCACCTTGACATCATTGTCTGCTCCTCCTGAAGCAAGTCGCCACTTTGACCCAACTTTGCAAAAATCTACGCTCAACACTGGTTCCTTTCCATGCCAAGCTATTTCGGGAGTATTTAGCTTCATGATCGGGCACTTATGGATCGAAGTTCAATCAATGTAGATAGATTTCTAGCATGAAAACAACACAAGCTTGCGTTCTCGAAGGTCCCCGCAAAACGAGTTCTACTTTCGCGCCAAAAAGTATTATTCCATATTTGGAAGAAGTCGTAAGTATTCGTACCTCCTAATTTGGAAGTTATCGGACGAGTCGGAAAACACATGTGTTTGTGTAGCTTCGTATCCGAAAAACCTGCAAAGTTATATTGGCACGTTGGGCAAAAAGACGTCTATTTTATGCCTTTCTCTCGCTATGCAGCGGACACCGACTTGCCCAAATTGCTGCAAGAGTTACGGCTTCAAAGGTATGAAACTGCTGATAGATTTAAAAATCATTTTGTGCATGCAGACTCGGTGTCACGCATAGCATTGTACGCGGTCAATGAACCGATGAACTTTCTCTTTAGATCAGCTGTGTTATGAAAACGTCGATTAATCCGTAGATCGTTCAACTGCTTCCATAACAAATTAATGGCGTTGTTGTGGCCTTGACAGATGAATGT